CCCAAACCCCTCCCGCGGCGCCAGGAGAGACCGTAAGTCGGCGGGAGCCGGAGGGGACGGAGGCCGCCCCGTCCTGGAGCAGGCAGGGCCTGGGCAGCGGCCGCCCGGGCAGCCGGCGGAGGGCTGGCACCCCGAGAGGCCGGGGGACACGGGGCGGTCCCTCTGCGGGGACACGGGGGACGTTGCGCTCTGTCCCTGCCAGGCCGCGGGGCACAGCGGGGACTGGAGGACGCCGCGAGCGCAGCGCGACCGTGGGCTCCTCCGCCCTGGCCCCGGGGTGCCGGCGGGCAGCTCCCCCAGCCGGGGCGCACCCACCACCCCGCTGCCCTCTGTTCCCCAAAGGAGCCCTGGAGAGCGGCCGGAGGGCCCCGCGGCGGGCAGGGAGAGGCGCCTGAGGGTGGTGCTGAGGTAAGGGGGACGCGAAGGGCTTGGGGACGCAGCAGGGACCAGTATCGCTCCTGCCCCGGGCAGGGGTACAGCGGGGCTCCCCGGGGTCCCCACGCAGTGACACCTCTGTGTCCCCGTCCCCCGCCACCATTAGGGTGCGGCCACTGACCTGCACGGAGACGCGGCGAGGTGACCGGCGCGTCGTGCACAGCCTTGGTGATGACACCGTCCACGTAAGTGCCACCTCCCCATCAGGGCCCGGGGGCTGCGGCACCGCCTGAGCCGCCACCATCCCCGTGCCCAGGTGAGCGCGGCCAGGCATGATGCCGCCTTCGGGTTCAGCGCCGTGTTCGACGTGGGAGCCTCGCAGGAGGCCGTGTTCGAAGGCAGCGGGATGAGGCAGCTGGTGGAGCTGGCAATAGATGGGTGCGTCCCGGCGAGCCCCCATGGACCCCAGCCCTCCAGCTTACCCTGCGCCCACTGCGCTGTGCCCGTCCAGGCCTCGCCGGCGGGTCTGCGCTGCCGGGGCCATGCAGGAGGTGGCATCCCTGTGCCACTGCCTGGGGCCATGCCTGAGGCTCAGCATCTTCCCCAGCTTCTCCTGCACTGTCTTCGCCTTCGGGCAGACCGGCTCGGGGAAGACCTACACCCTGATGGGACCCCTCGCCCAGGTACAATGCCTGACCTGATCCTGACAGTGGGACGGGCTCTTCTCACCCGGTCGTGGGTGGTGGGAGGAGGTGGGTGCCAAAGCAGCCTGACTGCTCGCCCTCCTGGCGTCTCCGCAGAGCGAGACCCGGCCGGCGGCCCCGGGGCTGATGCAGAGGTCCTTCGCCTGCCTCCTGGAGCAGAGCCAGAGCCGCGGCTCTGACCTGGCTCTCAGTGCCTCCTACCTGGAGATCTACAACGAGCAGGTAAGCGCCTGCCCGGCCACCCAGCCAGGCCCTGCTGGCACCCTGTGCCTCCGCTCCGCCGCTGCCTCCCCTCTGCCGTACCCCCCAGGTCCGGGATCTGCTGAGCCCAGGGCCGCCGTGCGCCCTGCCCCTGCGGTGGAGCAAAACCTGTGGCTTTTACGTGGAGAACCAGCTCAGGGTGGACTTCGAGAGCCTGGAGGCCATCGCTGATCTGCTCCTGCAAGGTGCTGAGCCACGGGCGCAGGGCTGGGGCCATGCAGGGGCATGTTGGGGGAGTACCGGACCCGCTGTGGGGGTTCTCAGCCCCCCGCAGAGCTGTCCCTGGGACTAGTGGGGCTCTGATGGCAGCCAAGGGGGCAGCTCCCTGTCCTGCCGCAGAGCCCAGGCAGGCTTGTGTCTGGCAAGGGGTGGGGAGTGGGTGCTGTGCCGGGGCGTGGGGCATTGTGCCCCCCCTTGCAGTTCTTGATCCCCCCGGCAGGATCCCAGAGGCGACGGACCTCAGCACACGCCCTCAACAGGCACTCGAGTCGCAGCCATGCTCTTCTGA